CTATTGTTTAGAGATTTGTTATAGAGAGTGCTAAGAAATGTCTAAATGCGCACGCACTAATTCTCTGTGAACTGTAAAGTTTACAATAGTATAATGAAATTGCTACAAACGCCAAATAATGTAGAAAATTCATTAATCCTAAAAAAGTGCGCTGTTACTTAACGCTTTTCGTTAGTGCTGGCATAATGTTAACATTCTGAAGTTTTTGTCAGGTTCATGTATAGAATGTTATGAATTTTGGACCGACCACACCCATAAACTACGCGTTGGTAAGTTGATCTTGGACAAAGGACAGTGAAATTGAAAGTTTGCGCTAATGTCTGCCTTCGTATGAAACATTAGAATTTGCATTTATAATGTTTTGCTTATGACTGAAAATTGATCAATACATTGAATACACAGACTACAGCTGACACAACACAGATGCTACAGTACCATTTATAGCTATGCTCTTAAAGGTGGTCATCCCTCTTTCATGGGTTTTTTCATAATTTCCATGAAATAAAATGAATTTTACCATCTTCTCCAAGGAATTGACAACACCGAGAAACAATTGACAATAAAAGTTTTCATATTCTCATTATAAAATTACACTCATATTCATGACGGCCTGCTAATTAGCACTAACGTGTGACATAGGTAACGAAAAACCTAGCTTAAGTTTTGAAAGGCCCAGCACAGCTATTGACAAACATTTGCTATGACAAACTTTAAAAACATTTTCGTTTTTCATATGCATTGTAAAAATGTAGTACAGTCATTCGTTATTGTTGCGTCCTAGTTTTTCGTGTTTTCCTATTTACATATGAGATATTTTAATGAACGGTTTGGTGAAAGTGTTTGAGTTAACGGTTGGTCATATTGTGTTTTGAGAGTTGCCAAAGTGTAAGACCTTTGACAATACACACGTGGAAGTCACGCGAGATCGCGCGCGTAACACCCATTGCACGTAAATAATGAAGCGGCAGCCTGCTGTGAGAAATATTTAAAATTCTTTATGTTATCAAATATCAACTACGTCAACGTAAGTTGAAGATATTTTTCTGGCGATATATGATCATGATATTAAGAAATATTCCTTCCATCTAATAAAACGGTAAGATAAAGATTTTGCATCCTTAGATGGCGACTCGATTTAATTTCACTTTACGTATCTATCTAAGTAGAACAAAGACAGTTTTTCATTTAATATTTACTAAAGACTTTGACTTATGTAGGTATGATTCGACCTTAAAACTACTTTGCTTTGTTATTCTTGATAAGCATTTAAACATGGTTATTGTCAAACCATAAAATACAACAAACATAAACGAGATATTCAAGTTAGATTTCAAACATTGTATAGGAAATGAATATAAGTGAGCAGAACATTAAATCACTGTGTTTAAGATGATTTGTTCGTTTTCGAAAGTTATTTTTGTCATCGTTTAATCTTAAAATGATCGTTGTAGAGGGTTTTCATCACTTAGTTATGTACATCAACATATTTTGAACTTTTGATATGATAAAACTTGTTTGTTGATATGTGGTGATTTGCTACTGAAATAACATACTAAAGTCAATATTTTATATGTGTTCTTCATCTTTTATAACTGATCAATGATTGTGGACAATGTGTGGTCGCTAAATACATTTTTGTTACAAGATTTATTTACTTGGATTCATTCATGTACAGCAAGATCAATAATTGTTGGGTGGGGGCTCATATTAATTTATGTATATGATATGTTTTTATTCTTCAGTTGCTAGCTATTTCATGTAGTTTGCCTACTTTTTTGAAATAATAATCTAACCAATGAAAAATGGTTTTGGTCATAGGCGTACAGATTCTTACATCTTTTACACAGTTTTGGGTCAACTGTCATGAAAATTATGTCCACCAATTTTTCATTGGTTTTCTTATTACAATGTTTTGTTGACCATTTTTATTGCTTTCATCACTTTTGTTGACTTCTTGACACACTACCTTTTTTAACAAGAAAAACTGTGTTAGGACTGTAGGATGATTGTTAATTTGGAGATTATATTATGTATGCATAATATAGGCTACATGTGTTAAGTTCCTTTGAAAACCATTGTTGTCTAGGGATCATTACATCCAAATGTTTATGTCACCCCAACCACAGTATAGAGAATATACAGTAGGACCACTTTCTGTGCAACTTACTGCTGTATATATAATTATATTACTGGGTGTAGTTTGTCAGCTCAGTGCACCTATTGGTCAAAAAATGGTAGTGTCTGACTGCCACTATGGTAATCAATTGCAAAATAAGATATGCATGGCACAAAAATATTCAATGCAATCTACTGTATGTTCTCTATAAAATTATACTATATGTTCCTATAACCATGCCTCAATTACATTATGTCTTCCTCAGGTCCTAAGTCGTGAATCAAGTATTAGTCCAAATAGATTACACCTACTCATTTTTTTATCATAAGACTATCTAAACAATGATAATGGTTATGATTTTTTAAAGAATAAAATTTTCAATGCGGTAGCCACACTGATAAAATGTTTAGTCCTTCTATGTACGTTTTTATATTCTTTTACTGTGAAAATAATAGGCATTTTACCTTATGAGTCTTAAAGTGTCCCTTCCACCAAAAAATTATTTAGCAATATCAAATCTGTCGGTGATTTTAAGCCTCGTTGGGGAAAGAATTTTGAATTTGGTCAAATTGTTTGCTTTTTATAAAAGCGTTAAATTCAATAAAATCGCGTATTCTTGTGAACCGTGTCCGTGATAAAGAGGAGTCTGAAACTAGCTATTTTTCTGACGTCATCCAGGGTACACGTGTTACACGAGTCGTGTATTCAATTGCTATCAAGTCAATGCTGGCTGAGGCACAACTTAAGTCTATAAGCGCCTAAAAGCATTGCCTTTGCACTAGTAAAAGCAGAAAAAAGGTAAACAGTTGCGTTGCAGCTAATTGTACGAATGTGTCAAACCTTTTCTCTCGTATGAGTCTTCACACTATGCCTTATAATAATAAAAGGCTTGAGGCCAAGCGAAGACGGAATATCTGGGTTTTAAAGCAAAGCTTGTATTTGAGCCTTCCAGAGCTTCAACACTTTGTTCTACTCGATAAAAACCAGAGGATTTGGAGCGTCAGTTTAGTAGTTTGCCGAATCAAAATAACGCTAATTTTCCAGGCCTTAAAAAGATGAGATTAGAATTTGTGTCTTTCCGACCATCCATGCTTTGGAGTCAAAATCCGAATCATTATTGCTCAAGTTTTATTGCTTTCCAAGTTTTCTGTCACGTATCCCGGAATAAAGTTTTTGTAAGAATTATCTGACTGAACACTAAATTCTGGTTTCGATTCATCGCTCTCTTCGCAAGACATATTTTCTCGAATATTATAATTAAACAGCGTGAATGAACGTATATGTTTAATATAAGCTAAATATGCCCGAAAGCTGACTATATTGAATAACGTCAAAATAATTTCTAGTGCCAGTTTCTATTGTATTCTATAGAGAACGACGGCGTTGGGCCAAAATGCACAACTTCAAGATGCCTTAAAAGCTTGTTGATTTGACCAAATTTCTGAAATTTTTCCTCAAAAAGGCTTAAAATCATAGACATATTTCATATTCCTAAAAAAATTTTGGTGGCAGTACTGAAAAAGTGTCTGACTGAGGCAGTGTCTGTCTGTCTGTCTGTCGTGATATCCTCGGCTGTGTCCTCGTTCATAGTCGCAAATGCTAACGATAACGAATAGTATTGTTGTGTCTAGTATAGTCAATGCTTGGAGCTTGATAGCTACACTGTGCATTCCGTGCTTGAATTTTGTTCGGTATTTTATTCGTATATCACGTTGATTATCTCTCACCCTGTGTTCTGTTTTTTGGTGAGGAAAATGTAAAGCAGACAGAATATAACTTTCTTTATATTTATTTCAACTATTAATGACGACGATTTAGATTTGACAGATCGTCAAAAATGACGAAGAATTTAAATATATTATGGTCCTATGGAAAATAACTGCATCAGCAATGATATATGTACCATGTGCAATGCCTCCTCATTTTAACAATAAACATAAAAATTTAATTTGGAACAGAATCATCGGCAACATAGTCCTATCAATAAGCAAATATTCGTACAACACAAAAAACCGATTTGATATATCTTTTCACCACACCATTGTTAGACAAATAAGATATAATCTTCATTTAAAAAACTCGTATTACTTCAAATTGGCGAAGAACCTATCGTTCTATTGTTGAAATTTTTGAGATTTATAAGGACATGGGAACTATATTGTTCTTTGCAAGCTTCCTTTGCACGATATTAGCACGTGAACACCAGCAGACATAACATGCACTGAGCGTAGGAGAGCGATAAAAAAAAGATAATGATAATTACTGGGCATTTTTACTAAACATGGAGTACAGAGAACGTTTTGTACCAAAGAGAAGTGCCAAAAAAAGGAATGATTTCATTTTGTGGCGTTTTGACATGAAAATATTTTTTGTTATTTTTCATATGTTATTATTACGGAATAACCTTGGACTTAACCTTGGGAATGACTTTATGACTTCACTTAATTTAATGAAAATACAAGACTAAGCGGTTGGACTACTGACTACTGTTTGTTCTATGTACTGTAACTCTGGTCAAGGCTACCCACATGTACACAATCGTACCTATTTTTTATGTACCTTGTACATCTGGGGACGGTTGCACGAAGCCTGGATAGCATTATTCGTCGGATAGTAAAATTTTCAAACTTGTACAAAAGTTGTTTATATTTTCCTTAGGAGAAAGAAATTTTCTAATCTTAAAAGCAATATTTTGTTTCAATGAATGCTCAGTTCAAATCACATATTATTCCCTTTTAAGAGATTTTGTAAAAGTTCAAAACGATTTGCCATCTAATGGATAAAACTATTCTGCCTTTATGTAACTGGCCGCAGGTTTACTTTTATAATCACAATGAATTTGTTCCATAAAAGTTTGACCTACTTTTTTTCAGCAACCATTGACATGGGGTCTGTCTTGAGCTCTAAAAAGAAAACTAATGGTTTTAAATTGATGAGATTAATTGTTGATGTTGGTGGAGAAGCTTTAAGAATAACATTAAGGAAACAACTTTCAGGTACTGATTTATTTTATATTTTAAATGACAATAAAAATTTTAATAAGCTTTTGTTGCTAAAAGATAAGCAAATAAAGCAACATCAATGGGATCTACTGTATCCTCCTACTCCAATATTACCAAATGAAAATAAGTTTGACATTACTTTACTTTGTATTCTCTTGCGTAATATTTGTGGCCTAAAACCACCTCGTGATCCAATATGGACGTCAGTAAATGACCCCACTGATTATTCAACCGAAGCAGATATTACCCGTATTAGGTTATTTCGTAATGATCGTTTTGCTCACTTACCTAACACTTCAGTAAGCTTTAATGAATTTGAAGATTTTTGCGTAAAAATAAGCGAACCATTTCTTCGTTTAGGAATAAGTCAGGAGGAAATAGATAGAATAACGAGTGAAGTGTGTGGTAATGAGGAATATAAAAGGATTTTGAGAGAATGGGATGAATTAAAGAATGATTTAGAAGTTTTAAAATCAGATCACAAAGAAATTAAGAATACCCTAAAGGATATCGGTACGAATGTTGGGAAAGTGATAGATAAATTGGAATTGGTAGGAGATGATATTAAAGGAATCAAGGCTAGTGAACATGGACTTACTTCAGTTTTAGAAGAAGATGTATTGACAAAAAACCTTGTTAGCTGTACTTTTGAAAGTGAAATTAGGCATCATTATGAAAAATACTTAAATGGAACACGTGAATGGGTTTTTAAAGAGTTTTCAGATTGGTTTGAAGACGATACTTCTCAAAATCGTGCATTTGTTATTTCTGCTGTTGCTGGTATGGGTAAGTCTGTAATTGCAGCTACTTTATGTAAACGTTTTCCTCATTACTTGACTGCAGTTCATTTCTTTCAACACAACAACAGTCGTTACAATAAAGCCAATGTACTTCTTCAATCTTTAGCGATGCAAATTAGTCGTAAGTTTCCTGCTTACAAACAACTTCTTGTGAAAAAACTTTCAGGTCAATTGTGTGAGCCTTTGAATAACATGAATATTGAAGGATTATTTTCCCTTCTTTTTACTGAGTTGTTTTATAATATCTCAGAAGTTCCCAAGCGAATGTTAGTTGTGCTTGATGCTCTTGATGAATGTGGTTATCCAGAAAGAGATGACCTTGCTAATTTGCTTGCTAATCACTTACACAAACTTCCACCTTGTTTTCGATTTGTAATTACTACCAGACCTAACGAAGTTGCTTTGAATAAGTTCGAAAAATTAAATCCACTATTCATTAATTGTAGCGATGATCGCAATTTAGAGGATATTAAATTATTGATTGAGGAAAGAATTGGCTCTACTGACAGCCTTTCTAATGTTAAAAACAGTTTGGCAGAAAAAGCTGACGGACTTATGTTGCTTGCATCACTTCTTAGCAGCGAAGTCAAAAATCAGGATTTGTTGAAAGGTTCCATACCAAAAGATCTCAGTGAATATTACAAAATTTCCTTAACAAGATTAAGTAAGGAATTAGATATCAGTAACGAAAAGTTTCAGTCAATTTTAAATACTTTGGCTGTTGCTAAAGAACCTCTTCCTTGGGAAATGATCGATGACGTTCTTTGTTTGAATTCTAAGTACATATCACTTCAGGTTAGAGAGATTATCTCTTGTCTGTTTGTTACCAATGAAGAAGGATGTGTTTCGTTTTTTCACAAATCTTTAAATGATTGGTTGTTGGATGATCGAAAACATATTTACTCAGTAAAAACTCTTTGTGGTCATCGACTTGTTTTAGAATTTTGTTTAAAATCTTTGGATAACCTCAAAGCTGAAGGTGTAAACTATGACGTCATCAAACATGCGTCAGTGAGATATTCAGTCAAGTATTGGTTGCTTCATTTACTTGATATTTCTGATAATGATTATATCGTTAAAAGTGTCGGTAAATATCTTGTTGACTTAGAAGTGTTAGTTGCTTCGGTGTTGGTTGACTCTCGTCATACTTTTGAAAATTTTAAATTATTCAACGCACATGATGTGTACTTTCATATTTCTGAGGACATTCGATTGTTATTTAATGAAGTTTATTCTGTAATGACGTACCCTATGCGCTTTAACAATAAAGTAACTTTTTTGCAAAACGTTGCCAACGACGTCAAAGATCTGTCGTCTCAAGCCATCAAAATGCTTCAAACACGTTTCAAAGATTCACCATATCTAGAGTGCAGAGACACGGGTTTTATAAAGTCTCGATTATTACGTTTAGATCAAAATTTGATCTCTGTTGATGTTTCACGAAACCATGATTACGTCGTGTGTGGTTATCTTGGGTTCATCGTGCAACTTTTTTCATTGAGAACAAACAGATGTTTATGGATAAAAAATATTGCTGGTCAGTTTAAGGAATATGAAGAGGGAGACTTTAGCGTTGTCTTTCATCCATTCAAAGATTTGATTTTTGCTTCCCAGCTTGATAAGATATTAGATATTAATGGTAAAATTTCCCCCAGTCCGTTCCATTGTGATGATTCTACTTCTAAGTTCTTTACCAACAAATGTTTTTCTAAGGATAAGTACACAATGGTCACTAGTTACAAAGATACTTTGACAGTATGGGACGTTAAGAAAGGTAAGAAGAAACGCAGTATTAGATGTAATGATGAGGTGACCTCACTGTGTTTTTCTAATTCTGGAAAATATTTGTGTGTTATTGAGGAAGAAAGAGAGGTTAAAGTATTTAACGTAGCGAATAAATATGAAACATTCTCATACGACGATCATTTACAGCCTCGTAATTTAAATGAGTCTCGTGTTTTGTTTACTGTTGGTCTTCATTCTTGGTTTTGTTGTGGTTGTGGTGGTGAACTGTGTTTGCCTGAACGTTTCATTGTAAATCCAACTGGTGAGAAACTTCCTGCCTTTGATCCTTTTACCCAAACTTCTTTTTTCCCTCTTGATCCTTTCGATAACAACCGATCAAGTTTTTCAATTTTTGAAGGAAATTGTTTACATTATTTTATTTTGAAAAACGACAATGTTCTTTTGTTTGAATACGGACTTGAGAGTTATCTTTATTCAACACCACGTGCATGTTTAACTAACTATTACAATTTTTATATCGACAAATTTTGCTCAAATGGAAAATTTCTGTATCGGAGCCATCAAGAAAAAATAGAGGTAATTATATACAATCTCAACACATTTGACTTTTTTGTCAAGGAATGTTTTGTTAGTGACATGGTTGCTGTAGAAAATGGAGTTATTTTGCTTACGGCCGAAAATATTCCTGAGCTTTGGAGTAATGATTTGACAAAACTTGTTTATAGTTTCGATGAACTAAAAGGTACAAACAAAATTTTTAAAGTGAGTGATGTATCATTTGCTTGTCAAAAATCTGGTTCTTTTGTATTTTTCAATGTTGAAAACAAGCGAAAAATAACAGTAAATTTTGAAAATTATCTAAATGTGCACGTATTTGCATGTAGCTCTAAGTGTCACGTGTTTGCTAAAGTTAAATTTAAGGGTCGGATAATTTACTGTATGTGGCATAAAGACAAACAAGTTAATGGTTGGGATGACGTAATTAAGGAGGAATACGCCAATTTAATCGCAGAAAAAGATATTGCAGAAAGGGATCGTGACATTACTCGCTGTATAACTTACGCTGCTTTTTCACCTTCAGCAGATAAACTATTAATAAGTTACGTGCATAAGTATGTGAAAGTATTTGACGTTAAAAACATACAAATTATTTATACTTACATTGAGCACTTTTTGTGGTCAAAGTTTTTCGTTGTTGATGATAGGTATATAATTAGTGACCACTTACATTTGATTGATTTGAAATATTTTAAGATTACAAAATTATTTCTCCCGTATATGAGTTTATTTGGAAATACTTTTTATTACTGTCGTAAACGCAACCTCGCTTTAATTTTTTCTTTCTCAAAGGTCCCGGTACAATGCGTAAAAATCATCTTACCACGAGAATAAATTTGATCTTTGATGATAAAATTTCTCACTATTTTGGATAATGATTATATTATCTTTAAGAAAATCTTGTTCAGTTCTTATGCATGATCCCTATCATTGTTGAGATTTCTATTAATATCTGTTTGCGTATGATTTCATGAAACGACCTTTGTCTAATTATGATTGTTCTGTACAGAGACCGCAGTGTACAATAATGTCAACATTTAGAGAGATCATGTATAAAAGCTGAAATTAATTAAAGATGAAAATTCAATGACAATAAAGACAAACCATAAACACAAATGATTTCGTGCCCAGGATAATAATTTTCCTTGTACAAGAAAAAAATTTTATTGACTTTTATCTCCTCACTCACACAAACATATAAATGCAAACTATTGTTAGTTATTGTACCATTGGTAATATTTTGTTGATATCTACACCATGTAAACATATAATTTTCATTCAAATGTATTCAGTGTAGGATGGTTTTAATATTGCACGTTTTTTCGATACTTCAAAACCAAAAACAAGTTGTTACTAATTAAATCAATACTGTCTTGCAATGAAATAATTTGTTAATACTTTTTACTTATTGCATTTTGATATAGAAATTATCTATGTGTTAAGTTGTTAAGAGAGACAAAGACAGCCCAATTGTTACTTCAGTTATATGAATGTTTTCATCTTTATTTATTTAAAAATGTTAACTTATAATAAAACAATGGTACTTTCGCTAATTTTTTCATGAAAAACTAAAAATTTGGCTGTCTTTCTCACTGACTGTTAAAAAGTAAATCGTAAACTCCACAAGAAAATGAATTATGATTGACGTTCATCATCGTGATAAACAATTTAACCATTGTCACTGAACACTCCAAACCGTATGAACAGGAAATACTAACAAAAGTCAAAGAAAGTTTGCAATATAAAAAGACAGAAAACAAACGATAATGTTGCATATGGAAGGATGTTTAATGACAAGTTTTTACCTTTTAATGAAAAATCGATATCAAGCGTTGTTAAAGTTGGAACACTTTTACTTTGTGAATCGATACTTTATGGGAGTTATTTTTTAAAAACATCAACTCAAACATCAGTGGACATACTGCAAGTTACTTTGCTAAAGTTTGATATGTTTATTGCTTGGCTGTAAAATTCCATCGTCTACTCTTAATTCAAACGTTAATACAAGAAGCAGAAGCTTTATTTCAGGAAGTGACGTAATGAATGAAATGGCAAATATATGTACCATGGTTCTCTGTGGATTTATTGTTGTACTTTGTAACGTCACCCAGGTCACGTAATCATTGAAATTTTATCTGTGGTCATAATAGGAAGATATGAACTTTTACATTTTTAAAATGGTGAAGCTGGCTGTTCATTTTGTCCACTTTTTTATACAACTGAAGCGTGAAAATTATCATCTCATGTGGACGTTTTGATGTGAACATAACGCATAAGTAATCATGAGAGTGAATGAAAAGAATTTGATTTTATTACATTTGATGGCATAAGGGATTTTTTTGCTGCATCTATAGTTGAAGCTGCTTCTTGATACAAACACCTTGTCATTGTGAATATTATTTCACTTGATTGCCTTTGCGCATGCTCTGAAATCTATATGTACTTGAATGATACTATAACTTTGTGATATGAATTAAGATCTTAACAGCCACATGTCATGAAAATTCAAAGCAAGCGTCAACTATGGATGGTTGTAGATTAAAAGTGATCAGTTTGGTTCATATAAATGGTCAGCAAATCATTCACAACAAAAGTAACTTCGACATGTAAGAACGAAATGTGGAAAAATTGGGAATGAAAAATATGGAAAAATTTCAACGTCTTTTTTTTTAAGACGTCATTTTTGTAAATGCACTGTGCTTTATTTTTTATCTAGCAAACAGTTTTATATCATTAAATTTATTTCATTTTGTTGTGTCATATCTATGTATAGTGATTAGATACCTTTTATAACATCCCATAAACGTACATCTACCGTAAGCTGACATTAGGTCGTGGTCTCAAGGATGTCCGTTTACGAGTAGCTTAACTGTATGCAGACTTTTTGTTACTGCACATTTTCTTTACGTTGCTAGATTTTCTTTTGCTTTTTAAATTTTAAATGCTAAATAAATGAATCCCACATGACTCAACACCATTTTTTAGATTAATAGAAATTAGCCAAATGCCATGTAAAGATCACTGGTGCTTTAGAAAAGGAGGTGTCTTATTTTGAATTTAAACATGCCAATTTTTGATATTAGCATTCAATAGTTGTATAATAACTTTCACTCACATTCAGCAACATTGTTTGTTGGTAACTGTCATCTTGTAAAGGAAGTTCAAAAATACTCACATTTTATCAAAACAGAACAATTGCAGTCGCCATTTTAAAGACTGGTTGCGATTCATTCATTTAGCACTTATAAAAAGTATTTAGAGAGAAACTTTCATTTGCTCAGTGTTTTGTTAAATGTTTTATTATATTAGTATGTTAATGTAGGAAATGATCGTTATATAAATATGTTTTCTACAAGATTGTTACAATATATGTGTGTTGATCTATATAAAGTGTCTTAAATAATTTTCACATTTCTCTACAACACTAAACTTATATTGGAACTCTCGTGAAATTAGGCCCACTATTTCCCGGGGGTGAGTACATTACGTTTTTTGTTATATAGGGAAAAAATCATAAATTTCCACAACCCTTCAATAGAATCAATGTCTTTCAGAGGGGAAATTGGCCAGCAAAATTTCGTTGCAAAATGCTATGATTGACCACAGCAATTTAGGTTGACTTCCGAGTGATTTATTCATTCTTTTTTAGTAATATTTTATTTTCTTCGCTTAATAAGCTCGAGAAACGTTTTTTCACTTTAGGCTTGGTGGCTGTTTTATTCGTTATGATATTAAAATGAGCGGGCAAAACCTTTTCACTTGTTTTGCTGGCAGGAAACCGTCCATTTATTTCAAGTCCTGTGACTACCAATGAACCAATCGCAATTACTATACACAGCACCTATATAACAATTCAACCAATTGTGTAAATAGACATAATTCGAAAATTGATTTGCTGATTTGAATAGTTTGCAGAATGCCAAATCTAAATAAAACAACTTTCATGCACATCATTAGCTTCCTAGAATTTAGTTCAGAAAAATGCATCGGTGGGACATGGTGATGAGGAATTAAATTTTCAGAATAAGTTGAATTTTATAACACTGTTTTTTATACATCCTGTATTTGGTCCTTTTTGGGAACACCCCGTATAACGTATATATACACATAAAGAATGATTCACAAGGTGAGATCATCAGCTACAATTACATCTTTTACACGTAGAATCTTATCAATTTTCTTACATTAAAGTTGTAGCAAACAGATATTTTAATACTAATCACTTAATAGTTTAGTATTCAATCATGATTAATAAGAATCGGACATGTTGACAGGAGCTATAATTAGGGATGAAAGTTGTGAGAAAACAACAAAAGGCGTGCGTAGAACTTAAAAGTGTTTGCTATTACTTAGGCCTAGTTCAAACGTCGAACTTTACATGAACCGAACGCATTTAAAACAAAAGATAATGAGGAAACTCCTCTCAATTTTATTTGTCTTTAATACGTTCGGTGCATGTAAAGTTCGACGTTTGAAACATGCCTTAGATTGAAATTAAAAGATACCATTAAAACACTTCAATCTTGAAGGAAAAGTAACATTTATATTTTTTGATAAGCATTATGAACACCATGTGATTTTTTTATTGTGTTTATAAATAATTAAATTTGTATTTTTAGTCTTGATTTCAGGACTTTCCTACCGGTTTGAGGAAATGACACATATGCCATGTTGTTCGTCGTGGTCATTTTACCCAAAAAGAGTTGATATTACTTCCGGTAAATGAAGTGAATACAAACTCTTAAACGGGTTTTCGACTATTGCAACATACACTAGTTTCTATCTGATTTTTTCATCGTGAAATGTTTGGATGTCAATGAGAAGCGTCTTCCTTTCTAATTTTGCTTCATTTCATTTTGGGTTAGCCTTAAGCAGTTAGCATTTGATATACAGACATAAGATAGAGTTTATATGAAATGTAACAAATTGGATGTTTCTTAAATTTGCCAGGAGAGTTTTGCCAAATATCGACAACCTCTTTCCCGTTTGCCCCGTATGTTTAAAGCTCAGTTTATTTTTCTCGTGTCATGGGCGTGTATGCTACTGGACGTAACTAAAGAACCAATGCCGTTATACAGCGCGAAGCACCCAATTTGGTATATCGATTACAGCCGAGGCTCTACAAAAGTCGTTGATTAACTTATTATACGACGGAAAACGTTTTCCCGAAAGAATCATTTGACTATAGTTGTGCAAAAAATCGATTGTATATCGAAGGTAATTATAATATAAACATAATACGTGAAACCATAAACAATAGAGAAGTGTCCATTACTGTTTGAGTCAAAAAATTGATGAATCCCAGAGGTGTTTGGTTTTCTACTTTATTTAAAATTCATATTTTGCATGCTGTTTTCATGATAGCTTTGCTTCCATACACTTGTGTTTTATTTGAGCTGTGTCTTTGCTTGTTATGGATGTCTGAGACAGTGGCCAGTTTGAATTTTTTGGAGGTGCCAATTTTAAACATTTCTAGACACGATTGACACTGAAATGAAGCGCTAACAACACAAGATATGGTTTCAAACGTAAAGCAAGTTAAATCATTCATCGTAAATGTGGAAATTAAAGTTTAAAGTTGCTTGAGGATCTTTCTCTATGGCGATGTGAAATACAATCTTGTTTCTATTGGGCAAGAACTTTGCTTTTTGAAGTTGTCAAGTCAAGAGTACAGAATTATGAGATTAAGTCAGTTGACATTAGATCCGACATGTAACGAGAACCCTAAGAAGCTTGTGGAGCGTGTAAAATATTTTGTGGTGGATCTGAGGAAGATGATGATAATTCAAACGTGAGTGAAATATAAATGTAAACCAAATTCAGGTTTAAAGTGTCATTACTCAACTAAAAAAATTAAAGCTGACCTTGAAAGCTTCATTATTAAAATTATTTCTACTGTTTTTATTTGATAATCAGAAATCAAGTCAATAATTAATGTCGTATTTTGTCCATACAGTCATTGCTGTGTAGTATATATAAATGAAAAGGCAAAATCCTGCACATAAATACGGAAATATATGTTGATTAGAGGTATTAATGGCTTTCTTCAATCTATGTTCAAACTTACCTATCTTTCTTGTTGCAAGAAGTTGGAAAAGAAGCTTGTGTCTATTACTTTTTCTTCACTGGTTCCCTGATGAATTTACTTTCCTGCTGCTAGAGTTATCATTTTAATAACTTTTACTTTTTAGTGTAAAACTTCCGTGAAAACTTTACAGTGTTGTGGTGTGTGTCAAAAGTTTGTATGAGTTAGACAGTCCATGTCAATCGTAGTGTAAATTTTCCTTGGGGTGTATAGTATCAAAGCTCCTTTTATGTTTCATGATGTTTTAGAGATTTATTATAATCACCACAAGCTGAGTTCAACAAACTGCTTAACGACTACACCATCGACATTACATGCGTACAAGAACATCGTTTCTTGCATGCTGACAACTATCCTGACATAGTTATTCGTAACATAGGATCATCTGTTCTGTTTACATCGACATCCAGCCGCAGCTCTATTGGAGTCTCAATACATGGTGCTGGTATAGCAATAAATGCAAAGTTACTGCCATTTCTTGAATCAGTCGATAAACATGACAATCGCATCATCTCTGCTACATTTAAAGGCAATCCTAAAACTATCGTTGTTGATTGCTACTCACCTCACAACGCTATTGATGAACACATCGCTTCTGACTTTTACTAAAAACTAAGTCAAATTATTAAAGATGTATCATCTCACTCCTAGTTCTTTGTCGGAGGAGACATGAATGCCCAAGTCAACACAGGTTTCTCATACCATTTATCATCAAATCGTAATGGTTTCCTAATCCATGATTTCATCCAACAACATAACCTTCTCGTCGGTAACACATTGTTTCAGAAAAAGCGAAGCCAGCTCTGGACCCACAAATCTCCATCTGGGTCACTTTCAAAAATTGACTTTGTACTGTACCGCAAACGGTGGAGAAACAGCATTAGTGAGTGTCGTGCCTTCTCCTCATTTAATCCTGTTGGTAGTGATCACCGTATGGTAACTGCAACTGTCAAACTTAGTTTACGCCGCCCTGCTCTTCCAAAGAAGAAAAAACATCACTGGAAAGCGCTATCACTTGACAAAGAACTTGCTACTAAAGTTGGCAGCACAATTTCAGAGCGCTTCAACACCCTCTCTCCGCCCGAGCAAGACTACTCGACATTTGTTTCAGTGGCAACAGATGCGGGCGCTGAGCTTCTTCCAAAAAGTCCACCAAGAGCCACAAAAACTGTTGATATTGAGCCTGTCGTGACATCACGCAAAGCTACCCTCCGGGCTTCGACCCAA